TCATTTAGATGACTATATAAATTATAAAATGAAATGTTGACTTTAAATTTGGTTGTTTAAATTCATGCAATATCAAAGTGTATGTGAATAGCTTTAACTAATGAATACTCAGTATATATACGTGGGTTAATACTGCATGTACTTTTTTTTTCAAAGAATATTGGTTAATGTTCCAAATTCAAGACATAGCAAATTCAACGTTTTAAATTAATGATGTTTACTTTTTCCTTGCTCTTTGAATATTTTAAAACCTTTTTATCAACAATAAATGTATCTTTAGCTATTTTGGGCAACCCTTTATGATTGCTTCTAATTAAGGTCTTCCGTTTCCAACGGAAGACCTTCTACTGATTCTGTTGGTAAAGATTATTATTCTTTTTTTTTTCTTCTACTTCCTAGACGCTAACTTTGAGGCCTCATATCTCACTCATTTCTCAACGGATTTCGCTCAAATTTTCGGAGGTTATAGACGTTTATAAACTCTATCAGAATAATGACTAAAATTTCAAAAGGTCACTTCCGGTTTTGAGTTATTCCCCTTTAAACGAAAAATCATAGGCTTTCGTTTCCGGATAAAGGCTCAGAGACCACAAAAGCTGGAGCAGAAATTTTACTTGTTTTAGATAACAGAAGGATTGAAGTTGTGCACATCGGTTTTTGTTTTTGATTTCTGCATTCAAAATGGCGCTATATAGGGGTCAAAAATTAGAACGCCTAAAAGAGCGAAAATTTACAGATATTTTTCTTTTTATCTTGAAAACTAAAAATATTTTATTAAGACATGTTGAATAAAATTTGTGCATAATTACGAGCGCTTTCATTTGATATCATTTAAAAGGGGCTGGCCCCTAAAATTAGGGATCTAGGGCCCTTGAAAATTTTTGTTTAATATCTCAAAAAGTATTGAGAATTTATAATACGTCAAATAAGCAAAATTGTTCAAAATGTCAAGTTGTATTTAATGAGGTTGTCAAAATACGTCCGGGTACGTCACTTCCGGTCAAACCGGAAGTAGACAAAAATTGCATATTTTTGTTGTTCTTGACAGGTTTTGGATATCATATGTCACTGAAATCTTAAATCTTAATTTTCAGTCCGTTGACGGTACTTCCGGTCAAACTGGAAGTTGCCAAAAATGGCGTGATTTTGCAAAAATGAACATAGATTTGGAGGATTAAACCATTTTCCGACTTCATTACTCTTTTTTTTAGCAAATGAAAGTTACTTCCGGTCAAACAGGACGGAAGACCTACTCGTTGCTTTGCAACGAGCTCGGCTCTAGCTTTTAAAGTTATATAATTTTAACTAGAAATATTTGATTGGTTATGCTTTTTCTTGAGACCCCTCGTATTGTTACATGTAATTCTAGCACGATCAATTATTATTTATATTTACATCCTCTAAATGATTTACATGGATACGTATAACGACATCAGATTTTGAAAATGTGATAGCTAATATAAGATAACGCAGTTGAATAAAAATTTTATATGTTTTGTTTGTTTACTTTTTTTTCTATTCTTCAGTTGTTTTATCTGATAAAATACAAAGTAGGTATTTACATTTTACACATGAGTAGATAATTTTACAACCAAATTCTTTGCTGATAAAAGATGACCTATATTCTAGTTAACCTGGGAGGTTTATATTATTTTTTGTGAAAGAAAAATAACCACAACGGAACAAAACGTTAAAGGTCTGCGTTGTTGTCTTTCTTTGCAAACAAATTAACTTAGTAAGGTGTATGAAAACAAAGAGCTATATATTATTTTTTTTATCATACTTATTCTTCTCTTAATTTTGATTCCATAATTGATTTGACAATTTTGTAATATAAATGCAAGATCGTCATATTTGAGATCCAGTCAGTATTTTAAATGTACACCTACATTTCAATAATTACTTGTAAATACGGTGCAAGAACTAAATTCTTGCGTTCATGTTTTCATTACTCTTGAAACCCTTTAGCAGCAAATAAACTTTAAAGGCTTTTAAATGTAACATTTCATTTTTCTTTATTGAACTCTTATTACTTCCTGGCCTAATGGTCGTCTCCTCAAATTTTGCAAAGTTAACAATATGCGCACATTTAGAACCATTCGAAATGAATACACAGCTTTACTTTGGATTGAAATAATTTTAATTCCTGACGACAACTGACAACATTACCGGGACGAAGATACATATAGAAATTTTTACATTTGCTACTTACTGTCATTGTGAATACATTTATAATTGTTTTCTGACTACAATTATTACAAGATAAAAAAAAGTTCTATTGTATCACTTTGTATCAACTGGAGACACGTCAAATTAAAAGTCCTTACAATGCATAATCGGAAAAGGGAAATTAATTAAATTCTGTTTAATCAAAATAAACCTAAAATTAAAGTCATGGTATTAACAGTGTTTGAGACACGATGCTTAGTAAGTCATTAATCGCCATGTCTATGTTTATTTTAAGCAATTTCCCTTTTCTCTGTTCAACATAAATCCCAATACATGTATGTCCAATATTTGTATTTTTTAGTTTCTTTTTTTTTTCCTCATTAAGATGAAATATATTTATTCCGTGCTATGAATAAATATTACAAATACAATATTTTGCTCAAGATGTGTGAGATTATTTCACTTAAATGTATAAGTTACATGGCATTCAAAAGATGCTGTGCATAATATGAGTGGAATCCAGAAATTCGTAAATGCGAAGTAAGTAAAATGAATATTTAGGTTTCTAACATTCTTTTTCCAAAAGAAATCCAAATGACTTAAAAATAACGTTTAGTTTCACATTTGTATGCGTATACTAGTTACTCAATGTTACTAACTATATTAAAGTCATTTTAACCTCAGATACATGCACTGAACCAATTGCCATAGTATAGGTTGGTCATTAGTAAAGTTCTTTCTATATCATGACATAGAGCACATGGCGGGTGTCACTGGTCGACAGGTAATGTTCACTCTTTCTTTCCTTCATGACACCTGATCCCACCTCCGATGTTCTGAAGGTGTGTGTTTTTGCTCTGCTAATTTTTCTATTGTTTTATTGACTTGTGATTTGACTTGGGTTAATAAGTCACACAATTATGTTTTATGTTTCAATTCCTACGCCGATACGATATATCCTGGTGAGCTTGAGATAAAAGATACCACAGCATCTGACGCATGTGTTTCATACTTGGATATTTTACTTGTAAATGTTAATGTAACAACCTAGCTATATGATAAACGTGATATCTTTAACTTTTCTATCATCCACTTCCCTTTCTATATATACCTTCATCACCTACAGCAAACGGAGTGTATATATCTCAGTCGATTCGATACGCAAGAGCATACTCTGCGTATGAAAAAATTCTAAAACGAGATATTTTGTTGAGTAGCAGACACGCAAATTGATGAAACAAGTGTATCAGCCGCCTCGTTTAAAGTCATCATTTCGTACGTTCTTTGTTCGATACAATGGCCTTGTAAGCAAATACAATTGATCATTAAGTCAAATACTGACTGACGTTTTTCAAACTAATTGTTATACATTATTTATTAGGGATGGCAATTTGTAATCGGTTAACCGATTACTCGGTCGGAACGATGGCAATCGGTTAGAAAATCTGTAATCGGTTAGTCGGAGAAAATAAAAAATATATGTAAATTTGAACCAAACTATGATAGAAATTCATTTTTGAAAAAAAGTCTTTGGAGAAACGTTGATAGTTCAGCGTTATCACGTATCCAAACTGACTCGGATGTTATTATCGTTCTCCGGATATAGATTATAGGGTAATTAGCCATTGTGTGTTTGAAGTGATAATTGCTAAACAAACTTTGTAAATCAAGTGATGTATTTAAGACCAAGCATTAATTATGGTGACAACGCAACTGATGACAACTGGAAAAATATCAATGATTTAATTCTTAGACATGATTTGTGCATTTCTTAATTTTTCCCCATTTTTTTAAAAACTAAAATTAAATATTTTTTTTAAAAAGTCAAGTACAATTATTACTTTATCAGTCTTCTTGTGTATACAATAGATCTACATAGGAAAAAGAGTAATGTACATCAAGAAAATGCGTATTTTGATACGGTTAACCGGTTAATCTGTCAGAACGTCTTACGGGCAACCGATTAATTATTCTGTATTCGATTGTCATCCCTATTATTTATACACTGATTTTACAACGGTATTTTACTGTTATTTCCCGATAATGACAATGAGCACACGGGTTTGACCGGTCAGCAAGGGATGCTCTCTCTTCAAAGGCACCTTATCCCACCTCTGATGTATCGGAGGTCCGTGTTTACCCTGCTCCTACTTTGTATTTTTTTATGGAGTTCGAGATTCCATATCATTTCGCAACTCCTCTCCTACCACTGAATGAAATTTGATGAGACTTTCACAGAATCTTTATATAACACATTTAACCATTGTAAAAATCTACATGTACCTTCTATTTTATTTTTGATTCGACTCACATTTTGCGTTTCCCATATCAAAACAGGGACACTGCGATCGTATTTATATGGGAAGCGGGGGCTATCATTTAGAAAGACCATTGCTTATAGTACCTCTAGTTCCTTTATTGTTATTTAAAAAAGCTCGCAATCTTAACATAATTAAGTTTTTATTTCTTTGTCATTTTAAAAGTCCCTCCCAATTTACTATATATATGTAAATTTTTTTTTTTTTTTTTTTTTTTTGCATTATTGCACAAAATGACTTTGCTCGTCTTGAATGCATAAAGTGCATCAAGTTATTACAATAAAACATTACACAAACCGTCCTCGCAAAACATGCTGTAGGTGCAAGAAACAAATAAAATATTCTTTTTTATCCGCTAGTTGGATACATATAGAAAAAAATTAGTACAAATGAATAACAGAAAAACAATTATTTATACAAAATATCTTTATTTATTTAGAAACAAATGAGTATTTTATATAATTAATAATCCAATTATTTTTTGCTAACATTCTTGTAGAAATCATAAAAAATCTTGTTTGAGCACAAAATATTTAAACATGAAGTAAACATTGTAGTACTTTAAAATCAAATGTTCCATTTTCATATTTTCATATTTTGACAAATTTACACTGTACATCATAGGATTGCACGATAAGCAAATACGTACATGTCAAAAAAGACATACTTGTTTATCCAAAATCTAAATCTGATGGTCCTTTTATTCATGAATTTACAGCTGATCAAATGTCATATATGTAGTACGTCCCGGAGTGAGCGGTTGTGATTTTGGCACATTGATTTATCATGTGAATGCAGACATTTAAAAAGTTACATTATAAGGAAAGGTTTGCACTTATTCAGGACGTTGCTATTAATACTTAGATGGATTATTTCATATGTTTTTAAGATTCAGTTCAAAGAATGCCATGAACGAAGTTCATAATGATTTGCGGACAATGGGAATCAAATCCGCATATGGTCATTGTGAACAGATCCTCTCTATCTCCAATAGAAAAGTCGGTACATGATAAGTTACAAACAACTAATCTTATATCTTCTCGCCCTGCCGCTTCGCGATACATTTTAAGAGCTTCCATAGGATGTGGATATCCTTTACAAGACGTGGAATCGGTGTATTTACAATTGCATCATAACGCTTCTTCTCCTGCAATGCATATTTAAAAACCCAAGAAGCGTCAGAGGCTTGATTACGTGTATTATCCGCAATTTGTTGAATTCTAGCGTTTACGTCGTCTATTGTGGCAGTTGATTGGATGAATAAGGGTTTAGGTGTTTCGGATGAAAAGACTATGACATCAGAATGCTGTTCTGTCCTAGCTGCTAAGGTCACCATAAAGGCGGCAACATCTATAGCACGTAAAGAAAATGTGCCTGGGACCTGGATTTCTTCCTTCATCGATTGACTGATTTCTACTGCAATAAGAAAACGCTTGCCAGTGGGTCTGACGTTTTCAAAGGATAAGTAGAATCCATTTTCCAGAGCTGTGCAAATTTGGGGCAGCACATTCCATTTTGTTTTTTCAGAGCTATTGTGACCTTTTTTGTACTGGTTAATTGCTTTTAGAAAGATCACTGGATGAACTTTTTCCTTTAAAATCAGTTCTCTGTTTTGCAATTTCCCCAAGATCAAATTTTCTTCAAAGGATTCTTCTTTGTCTGACCTTTGATTTTCTTGAAGGAATATATCCAAATTTGACATTTTCCCAAGGTTTCTGATTAGAGCTGTCATCGGCATGTGTCTACTCAAGGCCAACCAAACTTGTTTTTCATTTAAGAAAAATCTTGGGACATTTTCTCTGACTAACCTGTGCTTAAGGATTAGATCTGTAATCACATTGACATTTCTTGTTTTCTTTGCACGCTCAATCCCATCTAGCAAATCGGCAACAGCTTTCAACTGAGTTTCATTATTATTTTTCTTGTTTCTTAAGTTTGTCAAATAGCGAAGTAGAATCGGCATATCGTTTCCCCTTCCTTGCAACTATTATCAAATACTTCAAAGCAGGATTTCCTTCCACCGTGAGATGAGCAAGACAGATTGCTTGTCTGTGTCTCCAGCCATATCGTTTTGTGTATTTCGTGAGGTGTAACGCCAAAAGCTTCAGGTTTCGTTCTGATTTACCATATCTCAGGTACCAATCACATACTGCTTTGCGAAGACCCCGTCCCCATCCTTTACTAGATGTCAAGTCACGGCTAACTTTTTGGCAGTAGTCAAGGAATCTGAAAAGATGTGTTGGTATTCTACAAACCTTCTGTACAGCTGCAAAGGCGGCATGCTTTGTAATTTGATCAGACGAACGACAGCAGAGGGCCAAACTGTACAATGTAGGATCCTGTTTGAACGAACGACAATTTGTAGAGAAGTCTGTTAGAAAATCAACCACTTTTTTCCCAAATCCATCGCCTACCAATCTTTAAATCAAAAAATGAAAATCAGTGAAAAATCATAAAATCAAAATACGTTGAATTATATGAAACAAAATTTTTTTTCTTAAATATACGTTTAATCTGGTGAGTTTTGAATAATAAAAATAAAGTTGTGTTATGTCACCTGAGCTTAATATTCTTGTAAGAATTAAGTTAATTTGAACGTCTTTTATTTATCCTCCTTAATATACATGAACATTTCCTTTGCTATCCTTTTCGATAAGTTTTCAATAAATTTATATATTAATCAAAATAAATTTTATAATTTCTCTAAAATTTTATAATCTCCAAAAATGATTTATAAAATACTATGACTTGTTCATTGACCATTTTTAATTTTTATAACATCCATATGTTATTTCAGATTTTCAACAAGTAAAATAATGAATTTGCTTCCGTAGAAAATCCGACAAACTCATTGCTACTTTATTTAGTTATTCTTTTTTTTTTTTTTGTTCACACAAATAAGTATGGAAGATGTGATTGTGGTCCTTTGAATTATTCCTGCATGTACAGTGTACTATTTATAATGTTATCCGTGGACATGACAGTTCTCAACGAGTACTATTTAGGTCTTTCCACCTTTCTGTGGAAAGACTTATTGATTTTCTTCTGTTTATTATTATTCTTCTTCCCTATTATTCTTATTTTTCTTCCGCTGATTTTTTGTTTCGACATTTATCGAAAAGACTTTTTGTTCATCGTAAAGGTCATTAAAAGTTAGGAACGAGTTTGACCCAACGCGTATGAACTATGACCACTTTCGAAGTTATTGCCCCTTTCACAAGAAATGCTTGTTATCGCTACTCCTTCAAAACCGTATACCATAGAAATATGAAACCTTCACTAAAGTTTTCGACTAATTGAGAGGACTCTGGAATCTATTCATTGCAAAAGTATTCGGTGACCCCTTCTATGAGTTATTGCCTCTGAAAGTCTTTGAATTTTACAAATAATTAAATATTTTCAAAACAAGAAGTTGTAGAGACATGGGACCAACTGCATAAGATTAATTGACCTTTGACCTTTAAATTTATGCAAAGGTCAAAGATCAGTATCATTCCATCAACAAGAAATTAAGCCTTTTTTATATCTCTTTTGTCTTTTAACATATACTAAATGTCTTGGTATCAATTATATGTACTCTTAAAAATATTTCAAAGATTTCATTCATGTTGCCTAAGACTGACACTTTTAAAATTTATTGCCCCTTATGCGAAAATCCTTGTTATCGCTACTTCTTCTAAACCATACACCGTAGAGACATGAAACCTTCATTAATGTCTTTGACAACTTAAGGGGACTCTGGAATCTATTCATTGCGAAAGTATTCGGAGACCCCTTCAATGAGTTACAGCCCCTGAAACTTTTCGAATTTTACAAATAATTAGATATTTTGAAATTGAGAAGTTGTAGAGACAAGGGACCAACTGCATAAGATTCAATGACCTTAAACCTTAAAATTTATGCAAAGGTCAAAGGTCAAGGTCATTCCAAAAATTAAGAAATTAAGCTCCATTTCTATCTCTTTTGTCTTTTAACTTATACAATTTATCTTTGCATCTTTAATATGTACTTTTCAAACTATTTCAAAGAATTCATTCTTGTCCCTTAAGATTGACCCTATTAAAAGTTCTCGCCCTTTGTACGAAAAACCTTGTTTTTGCTTCTACTACGTAACTGTAAAACGCAAAGACATGAAACCTTCACTAATGTGTTAAGGGACTTCAGTCACAACTTCTTTGTCTTACTGTTGAAGGATCTGATGATGCCTTAAATAAGTTATTGCCCTTTAACGCTTTTGTGCTTACTATTAAACCTCAGAACTTTAAAACTATAAGTCATAGAGGCATGGGGTTAATTGCAATGTGACCCTTGACCTTTGACCTTGAAAATTACTTGAAGGTCAAAGGTCAAGGTCATTTCCAATTTTTTTTTATTTAATTTTTTTCATCTTTTAAGCCATTTCTGGTTTCATTTTAATGAAATTTAAATTCAAAGGAATAAATATTATTCAAAGAAGGTGGAAAGACCTCTAATTGTTCGAGAACAATTAGTCTTCTAGTATATTTTTGAACTTGTGCTTAAAAAAAAGACTTACTGTAAAATAAACCTGACATCGTCTAATTTCAATTCACTTCGATTTCCGGTTCGATAGTCATTGCAAGAAGCCCCGAGACACAAAAATCGCTGGAGTTGTGTTTCTTGGGTTGTTGTAAAGACGAAGTCTCCAGCTGGGTTCTTGACCTGATTTTCCGAAATACTGACTTCTTGACCGTGACATTCCATTGGTTCAGGTTGAATACCAAGAAATTCTTCATCATGGGTATCCATTTTTTCTGGATCAACTTGCAATGCCATTTTATATTGTATGTGGGAATTCCCATCGATCGTACTTTCGGTTTGTTTATTTAATCAAAGTAATGAAAGTACTCATGGGAGTTGAACATAGTGTAAATAAAATCATCGATCTGGAGGTTAAATGAGTGAATATTATAATTATTATTTCAAATACAGACAAGTGTTTCAGTTTTTTTATGTTGCAACAATCTTGAGGAAGACACTAAATAGGAAAAAAAATGCACGGGCCATAATGCTTGCCTGACTATTTAGTCCTTTTTTTTTATACAAATCTTAGTTGAAAAACTGGAGAGTATTTATTAATCAGGATGTCCGTCCATCTGTTTGTTACGCTTTAAGTATACACATCTCCTATCTGCAACTCCTCTTACACCACTGAATATTTTTTTTATAGAATCTTTATTACATATTGCCGTTGTGCACCTTCTATTACTTTTTCAGCCTACACATATTTTGGGTTTCCCATTGCAGAACATGAACACTGCCATCATATTTATATTAGAGGCGATTGATCATTTATATAATTCACTGCTCACAGCACCTCTATTTCATCTTCAAATTTGTAACATATTTTTCCTTAGCACCCTTTACCCATGTGTTATGAATTTATTTCAGTTTCACAGGAACAATATCAATGTTGATAAAATGTGGATTTTCAAACATCCTTTTAAGAGCTAACAGGTTTGTTATATAAAACTTCTCTGTGAATATAAATGTATTTCAATTACACGAAGTCAACATTATACATGGAGTACGTCAGAACTATTTTTTTTTTGATATTGTGAAAAATGCAAGGTATTGTAAATACAAAAGACACTTCTCTTTTCTCCTCCGGGATTACAATATTCTGATCCATAATACATTGTACCTTAAATTTACCCAAAATGATAGTAAAAAGGGAACTTTTATTGGCAACTAAAATTAATAAAAAAAATTAAAAAAAACATTTCAAATTGATACCACTGGTAAAGTTTATTTACATTTTAATTTTGCTTCTGTCTTGTATTTGGCTAGGACTTTAATTAAATCCAAACAAGTAATGAGCTGTATCATTTTATCAGAGAGTGATATAATAAAACGATTATTGCTGTTTTTTTTTTTCGGTCAATACAATCCTTTTAAGTTCTGATTGTTTTCCAATGTTCAGCTATGTATACATTAATTCTTAAACATAATCTGTTAAACGACCAAATGGAAGCTTTCTATGCAAAAGAAATACCATAGTTTTCTTCAGGAAATGTGACATTTACTAGCCTAAAGTGTGTAAGGGTGTGTGTGTGTGGGGGGGGGGGGGAGGACTGGGGTCACTAGTTGGTCTCAGTAACGAATTCCCATTTTAAATAAAACACTTTTAAAAAATTAACTATCATACGAAAGCTGTTTCAGAATAATCACTTAAAATAGAATATTTTTGTAGAGGCTTTAGAAATTGCTGTGCAGATTACAAGTAAAATACAGAAAGTCAGCGATGCGAAAGTAAATCTACTAAATATAAAAATGGATTCTTATAAATATTTAATATAGAAAGATATCTGTCTATAGTTACATCCATGTATAATTTGATGTTTCGTATTAATGAAAAGTTAATGTAATGTTTGATTTATCTAACCCATATTTAAAGTTTATGAATAGTTATATTTTTGGGTATTCGAATTGATACGTGTAGTATGAGCTTATACATCATTCGTCTGTAGGAAAATACCTTAAAATAAGCACATATGTTTTATATCATTTTCGATTACGGAAACGAATCATGATATTCAATATATCATTAATAAGTTCATAGTTAATTAGAATTTTTTTTAACTTATTGTATACATGTAAATTTAGTTACATTTCTCCAGCCAAAAAGGAAGATTCAAGAAAAAAAATCGAAAATATCATTCTTGATCATGCCATTAATATTTCTTTTAGCTTCAGAAGGTTTCAGAATTACTTTGAATTCATTTTACTGCATATGAATTAAGAATTTGAACAAAGTTTTTTTTCAAAGTTTGCAAACATATTTACAGGATGTTCACCAGGGTACAGAAGAGTGAACTGTAGTTAATCATATCCATATCCTTATTACGGAAATGGATGTCAAGTGAGGTGTGATTGTAAGAAATACTTATGCAATGTTTCAAGTGGTTGCTGGTTTTACACTTCTAGTATGGGTCATATTTTCCCTCCATTTAGAAAAAATGTAAAAATATACATTTCATTTGAAAAAAAATAGAGGTTTTCATGAAAAATTCAATGACCATCCATCTTATGACAATAGATGACAGTAAATTCTAATAGGCTATAAGCACGTATGATTTTCTTTTAAAAATAAGCATATATGCATACCATGTAAACTCTAAGAAATAGCAAATACGCTCTTTTACATGGTTTATATTATGATAAGAAGATTGCAGTCATTAGAAAATCCAAAAAAAAAAAAATCAGAAATCAATTAAAACAATTTTAATGACAAAAACTATAAGGAACTGAAGATCTCGTGAGTAAGGCACGTTTACTTCACAATTGCGTTTTCAAGTATAATGGGTCAATTTTTTTCCCGTAACATGCATTTATCGAGACGTATATTAAGTTAATTATCTAATTAATGATTTATTTTAGATTACATGTACTGAAGTTAGCAACAACTTGAAAAGCTTTGTTTGTTTACGTTTTGCTTTCTATTTTTTTTTTTTTTTTTTTTTTTTTTTTTTTTAGCTTTTTTTAACCTAATAACATAGAATCTGGGTCTTTACGTTTCACACATGAGTAAATAATTTTACAACCAAATTCCTTGTTGACAAAAGGTGACCTACATTTTTGTGAACCTGGGTGATTTAAATCGTTCTCTAACCAATCAGATCAAGAAAAATAACCTAAAAGGCACGCATGCATAAGATCTACGTTGTTATCTTCCATTGCAAATAAAAAACTTGGTACAGTTTGAGGAAAACGCAAGAAACAAAAAGAGATATTTATTGGATTTTTTTATCATTCTATTCTTTCTGATTTCTGACCATAGAGGCGCCAGTTCAACGATGAAGATAGTCTTCAGCACGGACGATGAGAAAAACATGAAGCATTGTGAATTCAAAGAAAAACAGAAATCTGATAAGAAAAGGGGAATTACGAGGGGTTATCAAAAAGTTCGTAGATTGAGGCTATAAAATTAGTACTATGTTGTCTGAGCTTACAAAATTTTTTAGGAACATAAAACATCAAAAAAAAAAATAAATAAAGAGATGTTGACAATTTTAGCTTGATACCTTCATTATTTTCCAAATTATTATAAAAAAAAAAAAAAAATATTATAATCAACCGGTGCCGTCGCCGTTTAGTTTTATGACGTCCGACAACGTCATTGTTTTTCAATGTCTGCTTTTTCTACCACATATACTTATTTTGATGAGATTCCCTGGAGCTGAGGAAAGACTTCAATCCGTCTTGTTTATATGGCTTTACAATGTCATGAACAGCGGCTTTCAATGCATATACTTTTGTAAATAAGATTTATACAATGGCAGAGATCCTCGCTTGATTGCAAGCATATTTTGCTTTTTTGAGTTCAATATCTACAACACATGATCAACGTCATTTTCTGACGTGAGTGAATTTTCACAATTTGAATACAAATCGACATTAACTGTGCATTTATTTTCTCTCTGAATCTATTTTAGCATTAAAACAAAGTTATCTGGATGCATATTACTTCTTCGTAGCCAGTTTAAACATTTCCTAGGTGTATACCAGTACAAAACTTTATAGATTGTTGGAAAAGGAAACCCATCCCCCTTTTGACGTCATTTTCAAGGCAATATTTGTTTGGATACTCCATGTAAATATACGATAAAATTTAATAGAACTTCCAGAATGAGGCAAAGATTTAATATTTTATGGAACAGCAGTCCCAACACAGTCATACCTGAATTTACGGGGATATTTGGATGTCAAATGTTCATATCACAATAGTTCTTCTTAGTTACACTTAGGTCGAAAGAAACGTCGTTTTCGAGGTTGCGCAGCATGGACATACCATTGCTTACAAAAACATTACTTATTTATTAAAAAATAAAATCTATGATTTGTGATTTATTCTATAGAAAGAAAAGATGATGATAACGAGATATTTTAAAAATCAATTTATGTACCTAAAGCGGTTTTAATTTTATGGCGCTAGTCCACGAACTTTTTGATAACCCCTCGTACATTACATGCATTACCCTTGTTTGAAAAATTGGAACTCATATGTTTTGCAAATAATGTATTTAAGGAGAGATGCCACATCAACTTTTTATTTCAAAGATCTCTGAGTCAACCTTTTTAAACAATGGTTTCAGAATTGAAGACCGGCATTAGCTCTTAATTATATATATATATATATATATATATATATATATATATATATATATATATATATATATATATATATATATATATATATATATATATATATATATATATATATTGTATTTTTTTCAAAGAAAATGAAAAAAAATTATTTACATAAAAATTAGATGCTTTCTTGTAAAAATTTTGATGTAAATGAAGGCACACATATGAAAACCTAATAAAATATATAAAGAAAGACCCTATACATACTTTAAAAATTTAAATAAAAAAGTATCAATGAAAATAAAACACATAATTTGTGAATATTTTTTAAACTTGTTTCTTAAATCCAGTCACAACTGGGGAGAACATGTTCTTTAATCATATTTATAAAAGGAATTGAAACGAAATAGCCAAATTTTAGAGAAATTATTATTTTTTTTTTAATTTTGGCCAATCCCGATCAAAATTAGACCGATCCCAACAATACTTGTACAATTATTGGAAATAAATAAAATTTCCCCTAGAACACTAGTCCGATTGGGTGTAATAAGGGTTAAACATTTTTGAACTTGACAATAAAATATATTTCATTGTAATTTCATCAAAAGGCAATAAATTAGTATATCACTCATTTTGTGTTAATTTTGACCGCGATCAATTTAATTTTGATCGAGAAAGGTGCAAATATTAAAAAAATATATTTTCTTTAAAATTTCTCAATTT